CTGATTAGGACTCCTGTGTCCCTGATCACTGCCCCAGTGTAGGGACAATAAACTGTGCAACTAGCCCCTGTCAAGTGCCTCAGTACGCTCAAAAATACCACCATACCAGCATTCTAATCCCCTCCACACTTCAAACCAATGCTCTGATCACCGCTATATACCATACCAGAATCCTGATCACTGCTATACCTCATACCAGCATCCTGATCACCCTATATGCCATACCAGCGTCCTGATCACCGCCATACCTCATACCAGCGTCCTGATCACCGCCATACCTCATACCAGCGTCCTGATCACCGCCATACCTCATACCAGCGTCCTGATCACCGCCATACCGCATACCAGCGTTCTGATCACCGCCATACCCCATACCAGCGTCCTGATCACCGCCATACCTCATACCAGCGTCCTGATCACCGCCCATACCTCATACCAGCGTTCTGATCACCCCCATACCAGCGTTCTGATCACCGCCATACCCCATACCAGCGTCCTCATCACCACCATACCAGCATCCTGGTCACCCTCATACTCCATAACACTGTCCTGATAACCGCCATACCTCATGGTAGCATCCTGATCACCACTATACCCCCATTCTAGCGTCCTGCTCACTGCCGTACATCATACCAGTGTCCAGCATTTTAGGGTCTCAACTGACCAATTTTCAAATATATATCCTGTAGTTTGTAGACTCTATAGCTTTCACACAGACTAAATTTAATGCACTGTTTTGGGTTATTTTTACCCCAAAAATGTAGCAGAATACATTTCAGCCTGAATTTATGAAGCAACATTATTTATTTGCAACATTTTTTACTAAAAACAAAGCAAAAAAAGTATTTTTTTCAAAATGTTTTTTTTTTGTTTTTTTTTTTATACAGTCCTGGCCACAAATATTGGCACAATTGCATTTTAGATAATGCACCACTTCGCTCAGTTTCCTGCAAGACACAACTGACTTTCTGAACAAGATCAACAACATCCAGCAATTACCATCTAATACACTTCTAGTGACTATGGATGTAGTATCCCTGTATAGTAATATCCCTCACAAGGATGGATTAGCTGCATGTCACAGATCCTTATCATCCTCACCAAACAACAAATACACTGCTGAGGATGTTACACAGCTCATTGAATTCATACTTACACACAACTACTTTGCTTTCAATAAGGACATCTATCTTCAATGTATGGGCACTGCGATGGGAAGTAAAATGGCACCCCAATATGCAAATTTATTTATGGCTGACATGGGAGGAACAATTCCTGAACAGCATGGAACAAAAACCATACAGATACTTTCGCTATATTGATGATATTTTCATCATATGGACAGAAGGTGAAGAAAATCTAAAACAATTTTACTCATTGATGAACACTTTTCATCCATCAATCAAACTAAAAATGGAATACTCAAACACACAGGTCAACTTCCTAGACACCACAGTATACATCAGGGATGATACGCTTCACACCTCAATATACAGGAAACCCACTGACAGATGCAACTACCTCCACAGTTCTAGCTTCCACCCCCAACACACGAAACGTGCCATCATACACAGTCAGGCCATCAGATACCACCGAGTATGTTCTGACCCAAGAGACAGAGATAAACATCTTGGGACACTAGCAGACGCCTTCCATAAGAAAGGTTACAAGGACAAAACTATCAACACCAGCATAAACACAGCCTTGAGAACCCGAAGAGAAAATCTGCTTCAGTACAAAGAGAAAAAAACAAACAACCGTGTACCTCTAGTAACTACATACAACCCAGCACTAGAAGGGATAAGAAAAATAATCAAAGATTTACAACCCATCATAACAGAGGATGGAACTCTGAAAGAAATATTCCAGCAACCCCCAATACTGGCTTTCAGACAACCCCCCAACCTCAGAAATAAACTAATCAGTAGGAAACTTCCTTCTGATTATGATGCCACAAATAATGGAAGCAAACCCTGCAATAAGAAACGCTGCAAGCTGTGCAACCAAATCAATCCATCAAAAAGTGTCAGACACTCAAAAGGGATCTTCAATATCTCCGGATCATACAGCTGCACCTCCAGTAATGTTGTATACCTTATCCAGTGCAGAAAATGCAGCAAAGGATCTTATGTTGGTGAAACAGGACAGAGGTTGCAAACACGGATGAATTTACACAGACATACCATCAAGGAACATAAAGAAGATGACCTCTGCACACCTGTAGGACACCATTTCTCACAACCAGGCCACAATATGGAAGACCTCAATATTTTAGTTCTGAAAGGAAAATTTAAATCCATCCAGGAAAGAAAAACATTTGAACTAAGAATGATAATTCTATTTGACACTAAAGATAACGGTCTTAATTTGGACATGGGATTCCTCAACCACTATCCGACAGCTTTATGACTATCTATTAGCTAAAACTTGACCCCCTCTGTGTGAGTGTTGTATCCCCCCTCCCCCCCCCCCTCACTTTTGATGTATCTTATCTGTAGCCCTTTTTTTTTTTTTTTTTTTTTTTTTTCTCTCAATCCATTCTAACATTCTGCTTAAACTTTGTGATTTTTAATAGTACTGCTTAGACCTTGAAGAAGGGGACATACCCCGAAAGCTTGTCCTCAAAATTGTATGTTAGTGCAAATAAAAAAAAGTATCACGGACAGTACTCAATTGTTTCTGTCGCAAATGCACTAATACGGCTACAATCACCTCATCCAAAATGTTTAGGCATTCTCATGTTTATTTCTTTTTGTTTGTATTGGTATGACACAAAGTGGAGATGACACATTCCACGCAAAACCCCAAAAATAGACTGGACTTCAGTATTGGCACCCATTTGTATAATTGGTAGCACACCCCTTGGAAAAAATAACTGAAATTAGTCGCTTCCTGTAACCATCAATGAGTTTTATGCTTCTCTACTGGAATTTTGGATCACTCTTCTTTCACCAACTGCTTCAGGTCTCTCAGATTGGAAGGGTTCCTTTTCCCAAATGCTGTTCTGAGATCTCTCCACGGATGATTTATGGGATTGAGATCTGGCCAGTTCAGTTCTCTCCAGCGCTTTGTCTGAAACCATTTTTTGATGTGTGCTTTGGGTCATTGTCCTGCTGTAAGACTTATAACCTCCGACGAAGACCCAACTTTCTGACACTGGGCCCTACATTGCACCCAATAATTCTTTGGTAGTCTTCAGATTTCATAATGCCATGCGGGACATCCAGTGCCTGAAGCAGCAAAGCAACCCCAAAACATCAGTGAAACTCCACCATGTTTGACTGTAGGGACTGCATTCTTTTCTTTTTCTGAAAACCGTAGAATGATGGGCTTTACCAAAAGCTGTAATTTTGTTTAGTCTGTCCACAACACATTCTCCCATAAGGATTTTGGATTCCTCAAAGTAGGTTTTGGCAAACTCCAATCTGGATTTTTTATGTTTCTGTGTCAGCAGTGGGGGTCCTGCTGGGTCTCCTACCATAGTGTCCCTTTTCATTCAGATGGCAATGTATAGTGTGAGCTAACACAGTTGTACCCTGTGTCTGAAGGTCAGCTTGAATTTGTCTGGAAGTTGATCGAGGTTCTTTATCCACCATTCTAACAATCCTTCGCTGCAATCTTTGATCAAGTTTTTCTCTTTTGGCCACGTCGAGGCTGATGAGCTACAGTGCCATGGGCTGTAAACTTCTTGACAATGTTGCATACAGTGGACACAGGAACATTAAGATCTATTTAATACAGGTGAGTTTAATTACAAATCACAGGAGTATCACAAACTTGGAATGCAGTTATTTCTTACAATTTTGAGAAGGTGCCAATAAGTGTGTCAAGTCCATTTTTGGAGTTTTGGGTGAATTGTGTCAGATTTGGCTTTTTGTTTCTCCAATTTTTTTTGTGTCATACCAATACAAACAAAAGAAATAAACATGAGAATGTCTAAACATTTGTAATTACAACAATTTTCTGAGCAAAGTGGTGCATTATCTGACAAAAACGCAGGGGTGCCAGTATTTTTGGCCAGGACTGTGTAGCAAAAAAAAACCCCCAGTGGTGATCAAATACCACCAAAAGAAAGTTCTATCTGTCACATAAAAAAATGCTAAAAATATAATATGGGTACAGTGTTGCATGAGTAATTTTCGCTCAAAATGTAATAGTGCTGAAAGCTGAAAATTGGTCTGCACTGGGAGAGTGAAAGTGTCTGGACTTGAAGTGGTTAAAGCAGAATTAAATGATCCTATCTTTTACAGTCAAGGAAGCTGCTCCTAGTCTCTCCTTTTGATCTGCAGTTGTAGTGGTGCTGCACATGTGATCAGCTATGATGCCAGCTATTTGATGCCTTGATAGCTTGGTTGAAAGCTGACACAAGCACACTAGTAACTATAACTGTTATAATGCAAAGTGTGTGTCTTGAATGTGCATTGAATGTGTTTTGATGGGTTCAGTTCCACTTTAATAAAAATTTAAATTAGCAGCTAAAGTGACATATTTTAACCACATGATGCTAGAGGTCAAAAGCATGACCAGTACGATGAAGATGCTAGCACTCTTTGTGACTTGAATGTATTAAAGTCTGATAAAAATCATGATAGATAATGTGTGTGTGGGCATAATGTGACTCTGCCCCATACAATAATTTAAAGACAAAATGCCTTTTTTTTTACCTCACAAAGTCCCTTGGGCATTTTTGTCTTTACATTATTTTAAAGTCTGCTAATGTTCTTATTAGGGACACCACAATCAACTGTATATGCCCCAATATATTATGATTTTAGGGGTGGTCAAACATTATACTAGTTTGCAACAGAAATAAGCTTCAGTGCTTCCCTGGTTTCTATGTAGCTGGTAAATACTTAGACCACAAACTCACCTGATGAAGTGTTAAGTGTAATTTTCTTGATAAACACTTTTCAAATGTAAATTGGAAAGTTCTATGTCTGTTTGAATGGAATTAGTTAATCATTTTTTCCTTTTTGACTCACTTTTGTTTACTAGGTCGAATGTTTGATTTCCATGTGCTGGATATGGTTGAGCTAGGGATGGAAAAAAATATGTGTCCTTAAAGGAGTTTAAGGTACATTGCTTTTTACAGTGTGTTTTTAAATATATAGAATTTTTTTTTTTTTTTTTTTTAAAGCTTGATTTTCATTCTTTTAAAACTGTTGTATTTTAGTATTTATAGGTTTATATTCAGTGTCCTGTTGTTTGAATAAATATTAAAAATTTAGGTATGCCATACACAGTGCTATAAGACAACAATGCCACAGTAGTTACAAGTATGCTATACTGGGACTCTTCCGTGACTTTTGATTTTATTACATAATACAAAATAGAGCAACAAAATAACCCAGTCATTTCAGGGGAAATTGCTGTTCGGCACAAAGTGTGCATGCACAGCCCCTAAACCCCTGTCTTTGTAATCACATATTACATTTTCCTGACAGGGCAAAGCTCCAGAATATTCCTGGTGGTGTAAAAGCTTGAGGGACAAGAGAACAGGACCTGTTTTCTAGGAACACTCATTAATTTCATATTCTGAACATGCAAAAATCATTATATGCTTATTGTTTTACCTGGAAAGAAACACTATGCTCCTCTTTAATTTATATAAGGGGAGATTTTAATTTATTATTCTTCCATTCTAATAACCTATGAACTCTGGGTTAAACCAAAACTCTTATGGCTCAAACATGTAGATGCTTTCCTGCTCATACAGCCAGTATTCAGCATATGTTTGCACCCAGGAATCACAGGTGTTGGAATACGTCTGTGGCTAGCAGCCTGTACAAATCAACAATAGACTGACAGATGGCATGGCCACACATCCAAGTGGTTACATGCATACAGTACAGTGATAGAAAAGGGCCTTAAATGCAGCTAGTTTGCACACCAACACTCAGGCTGCAAAATACACTGAATTCTGGTGATGTGTAACCAGATCTGTCCATGTGCTTGAACCTTTACTCTCACCTTATCAGACTGGTGCAACATGATTGTACATAATAATTTGGATAACTGCTTCCAAAATGTCTGTTATTTTTGTCTTTTATTCTAATAGCAAGGTTTTAATGCCTTTTATGTACAAGAACAAAACGAGAATGCACAGCAAGGATGTTGGACTTGAGAAGGCCTTTATTGTTTGTGTATTGTACATCTTGAAAACGTAAAAAAATAAATAAATAGGGCACCAGAGTTTTGGTTCTCAGATGTACCAGTAAGGACAAGGGAACTGCTGAAGGTATGTGCTGTCCTCTTGTCCAACATAGTGAGAAAACCTGAATCTGGTTGCCATAAATTGAAATAATAACCTGTTCTTTGCACAAGTATGAGGCAAAATACAAAGTATTTTATTATATTTATATTACAGAACTGCAAATGTCCTGAAGGCACCAAACCTATGCTGATATTTGCTGGAGAAGCATTTGAAACGAGCGAAGATTATAAGCGCCTGAAAAACCTCCTGACAGGTAATATATAGTATGAGTTCAATTACTTAATGAGCTTTCAAAAGGATAAAATTTTACATGGGTGTCTTATAAATTATGATTTCTAAAATACTTACATATTCTTGGATATCATCCAGACTAGGTAGTGGTACATACATTTGAATGTGTTTTATAATATTGGAATCAAATTGTACGGTGAAGTAATACTGTTTTGTACTTTTTAGACTTCTTTAGAGGACCCACAGTGTCTGGTATACGTCTGGCAGGGTTGGAGCATATATTGCATTTCACAGCAGTGGATGGGAAGATTTATATGCGCAGCTACAAGTAAGCACTTAATTTACAATTAACTTAAGAATTGTTCCTGGATAACCTGCCAGGAACATATTGCTGGCATAGTGACTTAACCTAATTATGTTATCTGTGGCCTTATTAAAGTCTTTGACGTTAGAGGTGATTTCTCCTCAGTGTGTAACAATATGGTGTGAAATTTCACCTAACCTCTTTAATACCATTGGAGAACCCCTTGTTAAATGTCTAATATTCTGTTTCATTACCTTATGTTAGAATGTTACCTAATACAGATTAGCTAATAGAAACAAATGGAATCACTAAAATCTATGCGTACCATTGAGTTGCATGATATTTTCAGTAATTCAGTAGAAAGATGACGGAATATTGTTCTTGGATAAATATGTCTTCCTGGTTTTGCTATTCTTTCATACTGCTTTATTACTTGGCATAGAGGTTTGCAATATTTTTGCAGCGCTGGTGTCCAATATTACTGAATATTTTTGGGTTCCTCTTATACTGGATATGCTTCATTTATATAAAATATGCTTCCCTAATTGTTCTTTTTAAGAACAGTATGGGCAGCAGATATACAAACACTTAGGGGTTGATTTGCTAATTCTGGAGAGTGCAAAATCTGGTGCAGCTGTACAAAGTGGCCAGTCAGCTTCATTTAAGCTTTGCCAATAAAATCTGGAATCTGACTGGTTCATATGCAGAGCTGCACAATATTTTGCACTCTCCAGTTTTAGTGATGGATAATTCAATGCTTTGATCGAAGTTCCAGCACATTAGATTTCTTTATAGAAGTGTCTAAAAGAAGAATTTCTTGCATTTCACAGGAAGCTTAGGCATAAAAACATTTAAAGAGGATTGTTTTGGACAAAACAAACACAATATTTCTGCAATTTTACGAAATAGTCTTAATAAACCATGTTTTTTCCAAAGTGACCACTAACATTTTCTTCCCATGTTTCTCAGCAGTAAGAAAGGATGGAGGGGGGGGGGGGGGTTTGAAAATGAATTTGGTTGCCATAGAGGAGCTCAAAAAATGTTGGGCTTATTTTATAAACAGCCTATACAGTACATTAACTCAAAGCAAACCAGTCAGAATTGACTTTAGTGAAGGCAGACCTGTAAAAAAATGGATATTGGTTGCAGTGGATACTGCTCTTTGCTTCAATTAAGTAACCCAAGACCATTTAATGCATGTTGGCCATTGATATTTAAAGTGGTTGTAAAGGCTCAAAGTTTTTTTTTTTTACATGCATGCATTCCATGCATGCAAAATACCTTCTATGTGCAGCAGACCCCCCCCCCCCCCCCCCCATCTCCCTTAATACTTGCGTGAGCCCCATCGTAATCAAGCGATGTGCACGAGAGCCTCGACTCTCCGAGGACTCTCCCTCCTCATTGGCTGGGACACAGCAGTGGCAGCCATTGGCTCCCACTGCTTTCAATCACAGCCAGTGAGCCAATGAAGGAGGGGCCAAGCCGCGGCTCTGTGTGTGAATGGACACACGTAGCAGCGGCTTGGGAGTGAGCCTGTTTAAGTGCCCCCCATATCAAGCTGTTTGTTCTGGGGGCACTAGGCAGGAGGGAGGGTCCAGGATCACTGGTGGGGAACACGAGAATTGGAGGATCGAGGCTGCTCTGCAAAACCATTGGGGCCAACAATGCAGGAGTAAATGTTTCTGCCCTAGTACTGTGTTAATTGGTAAAGAACCGTGTCAGTTATTTTAGATGCAATGCAACGTAGAAAGCATTTAATATAAAACATATTTCATCTTAAAGTGTCCATAAAACTGAACAAATAAAAAGTGAAGCCTTCCTAATAGTCATTATAATGATAAACATTCACACATGCTAAGGAAAAGCATGAATGTATATCTCAAACTGCAGTTTTGGTATTAATGAGAATTATTTTGAACTATGCTATTTAGACAAAATTTATCAAACAGTAATTTGCTTCTAAAGTACTTGGATTTTTTTCCTATAACTTTATGAATTTTCATTTTTGTGTTACTAGAGTGTTAATGAAGAAGTCTGGGTGCAGAACCCCACGCATAGAACTGGAAGAAATGGGACCTTCCTTTGATTTTGTAATGAGAAGGACACACTTGGCTTCTGATGACCTGTACAAGCTGACTCTGAAACGTCCTAAAGCCTTGCAGGTAAAATATCAGGCCAGAACAATTCTCACCCACACATAGGAGCCTGCACAATGTAACCTGCATATCACTGTATAGGTAGTTGAAAGATGCATGGTTAAGCAGCAGTTATAATGAAACCTTTTTTCTCTTACTTTCATTGACACAGCTTCTTCTGTTTTATCCATGATAAAACAGGGTTTTAAAGCCCCACCTACAGGAGTAGGAAACTAGGCAGGAAAAAAAACCTCAGCAACTACTGTGGGCAGACCTCTCTGGGCATAAAACCGCCTCCCTGCTATAGGCCTCCAGTCCTTCTGCCTAGTGTCTTCAGGAGTATGGATGTGTTTTTTATCCTGGGGATTGTAGTCCCATTGGTTTTTATTTTTCTTGTTGTTTTTCCTGGGATTTTTGCTTCTTTTCCTGCAGAGATCTTCTGTCAACAGTCGGGCTGGGTGATGGGCTGGATAATATATCCAATGGTCACCCCAGTCTGACCAGCGAGCACTCGCAGACCGCCAGCTCCACGCTGGTTGTCGGCGACTATGCTCCATGCTGGACTGGGGGGACCAGTGAGTTAAATGGCTCACGGGGACACATATGACTGGGCGCCTATAGTCTGTGTCAGTGTTACCCCTTGCTGACAGCCCCCCCCCAATTCGGTGGAGAGGAGGTTCTGTCGTGGTTCCCTTACCCGCATGCTGGATCGGTATGTAGATTGCCTTCTCCCTTCCCTCTCGGATGTGGTACAGGATGGGGCTACTCCCTAGGATGGTCGGTCCTGCGGGATCCCCTCCTCCCCCTACCCAAATCTTCAGGGTGGCCTGTGCAGTAACCCCCCTTCCACCTTCCCCAAATGTGGGTTCACCTGTTTGCATTAATTCTGGATGGCTGTACTGCCCTGGGTTCTAGTGTGACGTTTACCTGGGGATGTTGTATTGTACTATGTGTTCATGGCCTGGTGGGTTGAGTCTGGTGGTGAGGGGGAGTGCGATGTCAGATTTGCTCACATGTTCCTAGTGTAAAAGGGTCCCTATTTACTGTTTTATGGTTGGGGACTGTTCAAGGGGTGCCTCATCCCCCCCCCCATGGGTGAGCTCTCCTTGCGATTGGAACTTTGTACTGCGGCTTGCTGCCTGCAGGCTCTAGCACAGCCATTCTGCTTTTCACTCCACCTGCAGGGCCGGACTAGGGGGAGGTTGCTGGGCGTGCCCGCATACTTTAACAGAACTGTCTACCGAGATTGGGGTGGTATGAAGCTTCCATTTAAGCTGTCCACCATACTGCCCCGAACTACATCACTGACCTAATATCCAAGTACCGCCCAGCACGCACACTCTGCTCCTCACAAGACCTCCTTCTCTCTAGTTCCCTGGTCTCCTCCTCCCATGCCCGCCTCCAGGACTTCTCCAGGGTGTCACCCATCCTCTGGAACTCCCTGCCCCAACCCAACAGATTATCACCTACTCTCCTCTCCTTTAGGCGCACCCTGAAAACCCATCTCTTCAGGGAAGCCTACCCCACCCCCTGCTAACTTGCCGACCTCCTCCACTCTTCCTACCACTCCATCCCCCACAGCTATCTCCTCCTGTGCCACCATCCCCTCCCTCCTAGATTGTAAGCTCGAAAGAGCAGGGCCCTCAATCCCCTCATGTTTTGCATTGTATTGGTATTGTTCTGTCACATGTTCTGTCCCCCTGTGTAATGTACAGCGCTGAGCGAACTATTGGCGCTTTATAAATACTGTATAATAATAATAATTTGTACTCCCTCAGACCTTTCCTCATGTGGTGCATCCTCCTAAATGCCTGGCTTACCAGGCCACAGTGATCCCGGTTGTGGGATCCTCCTTCCATAGGGACCCTACAGATTGTAGGGCAAAGGCGGTAGCCCTTTCCATGTTCACCATTGTTGGGTTGGTGCCCTGGCCTCTGTTGGCTACAGCCCTGGTGTCTCAGATCATGACCAAATGGGCATTGGTTTTATGACATGTCTTGACTTACCAGATGCCTCATGCTTATGTGGAGCTGGTGGACCTGGGGCTTAAGTCTGTTTGTGCCACGTCTAATGATGCAGACCTTCCATTCTGTGGGGGTGCTGCGATGGGTTCTATGGCTCTAATGTTGGTTGGCTAACCAGATTTCCTAAAGGTCATGGAGGCCTGTCTGGGGTTATGCTGGGTAATCTTTTGAAGCATCTTATGTGTGGCAGGAATACCTCTGTGTCTCAGACTATGAAGGGAAAGGAACCGCGTGAGATGGCTGATCCAACCTTCATGGCACAGAAGTGGATTTTTTACTCCCCTGGTTCCTTGTCAAGGACTCCATCCCCTTCAAGACTACCTCGGATGGCGACAAGCGTCCCTGGCCCTAAAATCCCTGCAAGCCTACAGATTGTATTCTCTGGTTTTCTGGGCCTGTAGACTCCCCTCATTCTCGACAAGTGGGTCCGCATATACATTCTTTGTCATGGAATTTTATTACTTGCCACTGGACAGGTTTGTCTCTTCAAGCTACAGCTCTCACTGGCTTATCTACAAACTCTGTATGGGGCTGTCCAGGATCTGCTCCTTCGAGGAGTGCTTGTTCCGGTGCCCTAGTCGAAGAGGTTTCGAGGATTTTACTCCAGTCTGTTCACAGTTGGATGGGGTTCATCTGATCCTGACCTCTAGGCTCTGAATGCCTTCATGCGAATCAGCAGTTCAAGCTGGAATCCATTCTGTCAGTGGTGGCCCCCATTCACAAGGGGGATCTTCTTGCTTCCATGGACATCAAGGACGCTTACCGGCACATTCCATCTGCAACGGACATAAGCGTTCCCTGTGCTTCACTATCGTGGATGCGCCTTGTCAATTTGTTGCTCTGCCCTTTGCCTTTTTTTCCTCTGTTCCTGGGTGTTTACCCAAGGTCTTGGTTCGGTCCTGGCCTGGCTGCCATAACGAGGGACTGCTGTGATCAGTTTCCTGGGTGTGGTGATCCCCATGCATTTCCTGCGAGACTCTGACTCTTGAACCTTGGGAAATTTGTATTGACCCCATCCGAGTGCTTGGAGTATCTGGGGCTGATCTTTGATTGGAGCAGGGCACGACGTCCCTCCCGTCAGACTAACTTCAGAAGCTCCGTTCAGTGGTCCAGCAGCTCTTGCCTTACAGGCGTCCCATCCCGGTTTTTCCAGGTTTGGGGCCTGATGGTGACTACCATGAAAGCGGTTTTGTAGGCCCAGTTCCATATGAGAACACTGTAGAAGGATATCCTCCCCTAATGGAATACGGCTTTCGCTGCCTGGGACATTCGATTTCACCTAGAGCGGTCAACGAGGGCCTCTCTCTTCTCTGGTTCAGAAAAAATGAGGAAGGGTTGTAACAGCACACAAACACTGCAAAGTCCTGGGAAATGTAGTATGGGTGATGGTGGTATTAGTGGCTACTGTATGAAGAGCGTAGGATTCCGTGTGGCACTGAGGGCAAGGCTTCCAAATAAGCTGTAGCAACTTCTGTAGATGAGAAAAAGGAGAGAAGCGCCTCTAAGTGCAATAAGTCTTTTAATTCAAGTCTAAATGTAGAAACACTCACATGTGTGAAGTAATCATAAGCATAAAAAACCGTGGTTAACAATAGTTAACGGTGGGATGGTAACCCGGGTGAAGAGCCGTCATCTCTCTGCGATGTGGGGAGGTCAGCTCTCGGCTGGAACAGCGTGGTGGCTGGAGGGGGAACAGTGGGAGCTGCTTGAAAAAGGAGCTGCTTGAAAAAGGAGTGCACTTCCGCCTTCCACGGCCAGTGCATGCTCCGAAACGCGTCGCAGTGCACCCTGGGATCTGATGTCATCACGACCACGCCGCTGCTACGTTCCAGCGTGCGTTCCATCCGGCTTTGAGGGAGGACGTGCATGAAGGCTGGCCTCACCACTGTTTCCCCCCCCTCCAGCCACCACGCTGTTCCAGCCGAGAGCTGACCTCCCCACATCGCAGAGAGATGACGGCTCTTCACCCGGGTTACCATCCCACCGTTAACTATTGTTAACCACGGTTTTTATGCTTATGATTACTTCACACATGTGAGTGTTTCTACATTTAGACTTGAATTAAAAGACTTATTGCACTTAGAGGCGCTTCTCTCCTTTTTCTCTCTCTTCTCTGGTGGCTGAGGTCTCCAACTCTACGGAACGAAAACTACTTCCTTAACATTCGCTGGACTGTGGTCACAACGGATACTAGCCTGTCAGGCTGGGGAGGATACCTGGGTTTCGTACTCTGTTCAGGGTCGCAGGATTCCAGCTGAAGCTCGACTGTTCCTCAATGTCCTGGAGCTGCAGGCGCTCGGGTTGTCACTGACACATTTAACGTATTGCCTAAAGGGCCTGTCGATCAGAATTCAGTTAGACAAATTTCACTGTGGTGGCATATGTTCATTCTCAGGGAGGCTCGAGAAGTGCTTCATCAGCATTGGAGGCATCTCACGTTCTGCGATGGTCTCATTGCAGGAGTTGTGTACTGGCAAGCAGCTTACCTCAGCAGTTTGGCGCTGGATCAGGATGATTGGGTCTTACACCTGGAGGTGTCCCATCAGCTTTGTCTTCGATGGAGGACGCCAGACGTGGATCTTCTGGCAGATGCTACAGATGCACTTGTGTTACTGTGGGATCGGTCCACTCATCTACGCCTGTCCACCCCTCTGCCTGCCTCCTCCTTGCGCAGCATAGAGGCTGAAAGAATCGTGGTAATCAGGGTAGCTCCGGAATGGCCTCACCATCCAATATTAGCTGACGTGGTGCTGTTGGTAGCAAATGCTTCCTGTCGACTGCCTCTTCGAGAGGATTTTCTGTCCCAGGGGCCGGTGTTCCACCCGGTTTCATCGTCGCTGGCTGTGATGGCGTGGCTATTGAAAGTCAGGTTATGAATGACAGGGTTGTCTAGATCGGGGATCCCAACCATGTTGGCGGCTCGTAAGTCTACCCTCAGAAAGATTTATCCTTGCACATGTTTAGGGTCCATCCTCACTCTTTCTCGGTGGCTTGGATGGCGTGGTGTGGTTCAGAAGTTTGTTTTGAGCACGATCATGAATCGCTGCTCTGGCTGTTCTCTTCTGCGTCCCTTTGCCAAGTGTTCCTTGGTTGGCACTTTCCTTCAGGGGCTTTGTCATGTGGTGTCCCTTGTGCACTACCTTTTGTCATCATGCGACTTGATTTTGGTGTTTTTGGCTCTTCGGAAGCCTCCCTTTTGAGGGCACTCAGGGTATTCTCTTGCTTACGCTTTTGCCTTCCTAGTCACTATCCCTTCGGTTCAGAAGGCGTGGGAGTTGGCAGCTTGTCCTGTTTGCCGCTGCCTTGTTTTACACAAGGACAAGGTGGTGTTTTGGCCTTTCCCTTCTTTTTGCTGAAGGTGGTGTTTGGATTTTCACCTGAATGAGGACATTGTCCTTCCTTCTCTGTTTCCTCAGCCATCACTCGCTAAGGAGGTGGCTCTGCACTCCCTGGACATGGTTCACGTGTATCTTTCTGTGATGGTATATTGGGGGTCTGGTGCTCTTGTGCTCCTGAATGGAAAGACTTGGTGGCCTCTTCTGCCTCTATTTCCCCTAGGCGTCGGCAGATGATTATGCTGGCGTATGCAATTAAGGAACCTCCCTTCCCTGTTATAGCACATTCCACCAGGGTGGTTGGCGCTTCCTGGTTGTGCCGACATCAGGCTTCTGTTTCTCTAGTTTGCAGTGGCGACCTGGTCATCTGTGCACGTTTTTCCTAACTTCTATAAAGTTGATGTGTTGGCATCTTCCAATGCTGGTTTAGCCACAAAGTTTCACAAGCTGCTGTTTAGGATTCTTGGGCATCCCTTGGGGTGGTTTAGGGTGTTGAGATGATGCCTTGAGTTTTTTCTCCATTGGTTGGTTTACCCACCCCTCATTGTGGCACTGCTTAGGGACATCCTTGTTTTGTCATGGTTAAAGAAGAAGCTGTGTCCGTCAATGAACGTAAGAGAAAATTGTTGTGTTTTTTTTTTTTGTTTTTTTTTTTTTGTTACCGTAAAATCCCTTTCTCTGAGTTCATTGACGGACACAGCATCCGCCCCTCTATGGAGTTTTCTCCTTGACACTGCTTTTGACTGACTGAAAGGCCTATAGCAGGGAGGGGGTTTTATGCCCAGAGAGGACTACCCTCAGGAGGTGCCGAGTTTTGTGGGGGGGGGTTTCCTGCCTAGTATCCTACTCCTGTAGATGGGGCTATAAGACCCTGTTTTGTCATGGATAAAGAAGAAGCTGTGTCTGTAAAGTGAACTCAGAGAAAGGGATTTTATGGTGAGTAACATAAAAAAAAGTTTTTTTTTGTTAAATTTGAACATCCCATATTTTAACAAGTAAAATTAACAATAAAATACAGAACAGACTATTACTTTACCAGTATAACTAACATTAAAACGGGACGACAATACATCATTCATATACACTGCTGTGCAAAATGTAACTAGACACACAATTATTGCTCTGTATCACTGCCCCCAGTCACATGGATACATTTTCCTGATGCACCACACATGTGACGTGCACAGTACCTTAGAGCGTGCCACTGCGGCCAGGATTCATCACCTGTCAGCTGTGATCACTGCATGGCTTGAGCACACTGGTGAGAAGCATATACTGCAAGTATTTGCTGACTCCTACCACTCTGCCTTTGAACATTCTGCAGAACCATTGTGAGAAACTACACCTCCCAGCATTCAGTGCACAGCCAGCAGTATACGGGAGCCAGCTCCAAACTCCAAGAGTGTCCAGCAACGTGTCATTCAAGAAATGACTGAGAGAATGGCGGAGGTACCAGTGAGGGAGTATTCCCCAGCCCTGAGATAGATATCATTTTTTTCTTTGTTTCTTTTATTAATTTTCCAAATGGATTCAGGTCGCATTGTGATGATTAGAAGCACATATATTTTTAATACACAACACACAACTCAGTTTTATAGCTTGGGTTTACGATATAAAAATACCCTAAAATCTTTTTATATGGTAGATTTGTTGATAAAAAGAAATTGTTGTGATTATTCTGAAGCATTGCATTTCTTTATTTAGGGAAAGAAGAAGAAAAACATTTCCCACGATACTTTTGGTACTAAATTTGGCCGAATCCACATGCAAAAACAAGATCTGGGTAAATTGCAGACCCGTAAAGTTAAGGCACTGAAAAAGAGGCCAGCAGAGAAGATTGCAGGAACAATTGAAGATGGAACTCCCAAAAGGAGGAAAATCAACTGAATAGGGATTTAGTTAGTGCTAGAGGACTGTTTATCCTTTAAGCATGTCTTTTTTTTACAGGACATTCATACCGGGCTAAAGTTTGATATACCCGGTTATCTCATTTGTACAGTGAAAAAACAGGTTATCTTTTCTAAAGGAAACCTAACTCCAGCCATAAGCTTCACCTTCCAAGAGAAAAGCAGGTGAACCTATTAATAAATTGTGCATTTACAAGCACCAATAGTGTGAATTATGGAATAAACGCAATACCTGTTAAGTGCATTGAATGGTAGAGACTGCCTTGAAGAAACCAAAGTCTATCCGAATTAGTATGGCCTTCCAGTTAACTGGCTTGGGTATAAAGCCTGTTCGGGTTTTTCAAAATTATTTTGTTTATATTAAAATTCCTTTTATATGTAAAAATATCTGTGGTTTCTTTCCATTGAGTAGATAATTACCACATGCTTTGGAAGCAGCACTAGCAGTTTCTTGTGTATAAAGGGATCATGCTTTTTTGTAGTGCAGTTACTGTATTGGTCAGCCTGTGCTTGTTACTAATGGCTCTATATTGTAATGGAAACACATATTGTTTGCACGTGCCTGGCATCAGTTCTGTTGAGGCTGGTTGACCTACAATTTCTTCTCCAATACAAACTGGTATTTGGATTTCTGTTTGTTGTATTTGTGGAACAAGAGCTCGCGAAAGAGTAGGGCCCTCTAACCCCTCGTGTACTGTTGTTGCTGTTCTGTTTCTTGTATTGGCCCCACCCCTCTATTGTACAGCGCTGAGTAAACCCTTTGCCGCTATATAAACTCAATGTAATAATAATAACAACAAGATACATAAACAAATATAGTCACTAGAGGGCACTGGAGGGGTGTACTATTGAATTGTAGAAAGATTTGTCTGTATCCCAAAGTTTAATTCATTAGCAGTTAGTTACATGGACAGAGGCGCCCATTTAAAGTTGACTTTTCGGTAACTGTATTTTGAATAAATTCCTGACATGTCACAATATATAGCAATTTGTTTTTCAAAAACCTGTATCTTTATATCAGTCCTTAAGCTCCAGATCAGTGATTTTGTCTAGGCTAAGATGACCATCTGCTGTAAGCGGAAAGTAGAATTTCATCTGTATTTTCTACAGTGATCACACTGTACACAGGCATAATGATTTATATGATTGAGTTATCTATTTGGCCCAGCATCTTGGTGTAAGAAGTAAATGCTGATCCTGGATGATGCCTGAACAAAGATGGCTTCATACTTCTGGAGACAAAGTAGATAAAGGCATTTCCATGTTGAGTACTCTGATCTTTGTGAGAAGTAATCTATACCTTCATTGCTTACTATGCGTGTACCTAAAGAGGGAAATAATATGTGATGATAGGTCCACTCCAGCAATTAGTATTGTAATGATGAGGAAAGCAACAACCTTTGTCCATGGTAAAAGGTTTTGAGAGCTTATTTACGAAAGTTAAAAAGTAAATGAAAAGATTTGAAAGCAGACAGATTAACATATGTAGGTCCTCAGACATAACAAGCATACCAAGCTCATTGTCATAAACTCAGGAGGCTTTTAACCACTTCTCTTCCTTAGGCTATTATAAAATGTTCAGAACTTCAAGTGTTAAAAAAAAAGCTCATGACTACAACTGCAGGCATGAGCTTGGTATACTTTTTTCAGCCGGCAATCTGCTGTTTAGTAAAAGCGACCTAAGCAGCTCTACAGCAGCCTGATTACTTTTATATGAGAATTGGATGCATTTTGAACTGTATCTAAATTCACGTGATGTGAACCAAAAGCCTGTCCTATGGAGCCGGTTCACATATGTGCGGGCCAGCCGCAGTGCGATTTAAAAAGAGAGTCCGATATGATTTTCAGTCCAGTTCAGGTGTCATTTCCAATGTCATACACTGTAAAAATTCTCACTGGAATCGCATTTGAACCACTGAATGAAATTACACCAAATTCTTTCACAAATCGCACTGTAAACCGGCCCTGCATATATGTGAGCCAAGGCTTATGGTATTGAGAAGAACCATAATTCATGGTGAACTCTAAACTGATAACATGTAAAAGCTTTTAAAGTGTTGCCTTGTAGAAAAAAAAAATTTAGTTTCATGATATTTTGCTATTTTACGGGTGCCTGCAATTTTGAGTCTTGACATATTTGATGTCTATTTACTTAATGCAACCCCACCATTTAAAGGAAACTCCACTTTAGTGGGGAAAAATGAGCAAGTAATATAGCATATACAGTTGCGACACAAGTCATATTGTAATTGGATGTTATTGAAAATTACTTTTGGTTTACAATCTGCACAGTGTAATTTTCTGTAAAATGCAATATGGCCATCTGAAGGCATGGTGGTGTACAGAACGCATCCCAGAAAGGTCATTTCCTACTTGTGTGATTGGCTCACTGATTGTCCCAGGCATGTGCACGAAGATACAAGTCATATTTTGGGCATCACCTGCAACAAAAATGTCATTTATGGTATATTTCCAAAGAGATAATACTTCTAAAGGGATGCAGACCCTGCCACTTTCTTTATTAGAGCCCTGCTGGCGCAGCAGCTGATTTGATAACTGTAAAATCATTCCCATACAGATTCACTCTGCATATGGACACAAACCGCTATTTCTTCAGAATAACAAAAGGTAGGAATTTGCAACAAAGTTTAATATCCTTGCAATGTACATAGATCACCCAGAGGGGAATATTTTTTTTGGCAGCAAAAGTGGAGTTAAGTTTTAAAAAAAAAAAATTATATTGTGTTTGTGTGCACATATTTTTTTCTTACATTTGATAAACAGCTGTGCAATTACCATGCAATGTACCGCATTTTATTCTACTGGGCCTCTGCTTTCAGGGTTTAAGTAATTTTCTTTCCAAATCTGATGTTGAAAAGTCTGACCCAGACATGAAGTGATTATATCGGTATTAAGTCCAAAACCAAAAATGTAATATATTGTAGCTTACTAATCATTAGATGTGGTGACTGTATTAGTTTGCTTTTTTCCCCCCTGTTTACACCTGGCTAGCAACACAGCTTCTGTTTTAGAGGTCCTCCACCCAGAATCAAGGGGCATAGGGGGTACCTTTGGACAGCAGCATGTCAGTCTGCAGGAGAGGGGAGCATTGGATGTACCAGCAGATTTAACAAGTTCCCACCCGGCCTATAGCCAGATGGCGGCCGGGCGAGAACCTCGTCCCTCCGGGTGGATGCCATACGGCGTCCTTTCAGTCATGTGCAGTTTGCCTGCCCGCAGAGCCGCGCTGCGGCACAATCTCACTGGCCGTGTACCTCGGACACGGCTGATGACAGATCTGTGTACTGGCCCCGTTGCCAGTACCATGTGACCTGCTGTGACCAATCACAGCAGGTCACATGACAGTTGTATACAATGGATGGCTTCCTTTCATGCCATCCATTGTATACTAGTGTGTCTAGCTGTGAATGGTCACAGCGATCACATGCACAAGCTGGACTAATCACAGCCCAGCTGTGTCATGTGATTAACCGTGGCAAAATCACAGCTAAGCACAAAAAAAAAAAAAAAACCCTGAATGAATCGATTTTCATTCAGGTAAATGCTTGCTTATAGCCAAGAAATTCTATGCTATAAGAAAATTGTGTAAAAAATAAATAAATAAATACTGATCACTTCCCCAAAGTAGTACAATGTTACTATGGTAACATTATACTACTTTGGTCATAGTTAAATATGAAAAAAAATCTGACTGGTGTCAGAGTAAAAAAAAAGTAAAAAAAAAATTTTTTAAAAAATTATCAATTTTTTTTTTTCGTACTGTCACCAGTCAGTGTCCCTGATCACCGCCATGCCAGTTATATGATGACGCTGTACTGCACTGGTGAGAATATGTAAAAAAAAAAATAGTGAAAATCTTTTTTTTAATTAATTTCTGAAAAATTATGACAAGAAAATTAGAATTTCAAAAAACTCCCCATTCCTGTTATGAAATACGTCGGACTGTCTACTTTGCAAAAAGGGGTCATTTGGGGGATATCTGTACTGTTCTGACATTCTTGGACCTCAAGATATTAGATTGGCTGTCAGTACTTCAGGATTGATCAATATTCAGATCTATACCATAGTTTGTGAACTCTATAACTTTCCTACAAACTAAATAATACATCCTAATTTGGGTTATTTTCACCAAAGACATGTAGCAGAATACATTTTGGCCTAAATTTATGAAGAACAATTATTTATTTGCTAAATTTTATAACAGAAACAAAGAAAAACGTGTGTTTTTTTTTCAAAATTTTTGGTCTTTTTTTGTTAATTTAGCAAAAATATAAAAACCCCAGTGTTGATTAAATACCACCAAAAGAAAGCTTTAGTTCTGTGAAGAAAATGATAAAAGTTAGTTTGGGTACAGTGTTGTATGACCGCGCAATTGTCATTCAAAGTGTAAGAGCGCTGAAACCTGAAAATTGGCCTGGGCAGGAAGGGGGTAAAAGTACCCTGTATGGAAGCGGTTAAATACAGTAACAAATGTAAGCCAAACTACAGCTAATACTTTAAAAGTAGTTGCAGCAATCAGTTTTTTTTCCTTTTGGGATAAAGGTTTTTACATAAACAAAAGCTGATCATTGTAAGCACCCCTGCCAGTGTTAAATGGTTTGTCTCATCTCCAAAACTGCTGCTTATTGTCTCATCCCGGTAACTGCTGCATCTCAATAGAGGTTGATCTTTTGAATCATAACAGACATACAGGTTGGATCACCAGGTGAAAATGAAAGAATGCCTCAAAAAGGATAAAGCAGCCATCACATCGAAGAATTGGTAAGCTGCAATATAATGTTTGCTTTTGGGTTTAACCCTGCTTTAAGATTCAATCATGGACAGTTCCTTCTAACCATATACCTTTTTATATGTAAACACATTCACCTAATATGGTAATAAACTCATATATAAGCCCACTGAAGTGACTATCCTCAGGTGATCATAAAGCAAAACCTCTCACTAAAGCTTTACCTCTTT